CGGTGGCGGCGGCGGTGGGCGCGGCGGTGTCTCGGGCAACGACCTCGCTGCCGCCGCTCACGCCCGAAGCGCCGGCCAAGGCACCAGAGGCCTGGCGGAATCGGCAGTGGGAGGGGCGAACAAGGACGAGGTGAAGGAGGAAGATGCAGACAAAGGCGAGGCCGAGACTGACGTCGCACCGCAGGCGTTGTGGGCGGCGCCGGCCCAGCCGCCAGTTACGACGGCGTCGTTTGTGTCGGGCCTCGCGGAGAGTCCGTTTGCGGACGCGCCGGCTGACGGCGGGCCTGAGAGCGACGGAGACGAGGGCGGAGATGACGATGGCGAGGCTTCGGCGGCTTCGGCGGCTTCGGCGGCTTCGGCGGCTTCGGTGGCGTCGGCGGCGTCGGCGGCCTCAGAGGCGTCGGACTCGGGCCGGCGGCGGAAGCGACGGAAGCGGCGCGGGCGCAAGGGCAAGGGCAAGGGCAAGTTGCGGGCAAAGCCCCGGTCAGGAGTGCCGGCACTAGAGCCGGCACGGCCCAGCACGGCCAACATTCGTGGGCCAGAAGGACGCGGGCTGGAGACAATTATTCGCCACCGGCCGGGCAGCAGTGTGGCCGAGGCCGGGCCACGTGAAGGAAGCGCGGGAAGCGCGGGAAGCGTGGCAGTCGGCAGCGAAGCAGCTGGCGAGGGGAGCAACCAGTCTCGAACCGAGGTCAATCTGCGGCGACAGGTCCGCGAGCTCACGCGCGAACTACAGAACGCGCACGCGCTGCATGACGAGACGCAAATGACCTACGAGGCCGAGCTGACACACAAGGACGAGACGATTGCGCAGCTAAGAGCGGAGCTCCTGGAGCGCGACGCGACGATTTCAGGCCTCACGCAGGGCTTGTCGGAGCTGCGGGCGTCCCTGGATGCGGAGCGAAGTGAGGCGCTGGCGGCCAAGGACGCGGTCATTGCCGACCGTGATGCCATCATCGCCGGCCTCACTGCCGGGCTTGCGGCGGTCAAGCAGTCGGCGTCGCCGCTGGAAGAGTCTAAGGCATCGCTCGAGGACGAGCTGGTTGAGCTGCGGACGCGGGTGGAAGAGTTGACGGCCGAGGCTGGGCGGCTGCGGAAGGAGAACATCACCGCCCGCGAGCGATGCGAACGGCTGCACGGTGGTGCGAGCATGGCCAGCGTCTCGGTCATCCGCAGCAGCAAGTCGCGGCGGTGAGGCTGTAGTACACGACTTAACCCTGAACGGTACGGTCGTTCGGACGCGTTGTCGCACGTCTCAAGGTGAACAACTCGATGATGCTCGACTTCTAGGTCACCGGCCGACGGTGCGCGACGCCTGCTTGGCCTGCGGCATGAGGTGGGAGGCGCGCCCGCGCTTGATGGCGGCTGACACGTAGACGCCCGCCTGAAGGATGCCCGACCTGGGAGCATGGGCGAGGCGCGCGAGGTGCCATACGGCGCCGATCCGGAGGAGCGGCGGGCGCGGACGGTGCGGAGCTTGTCGTTGACGACCCCGACGACCGGGAAGGAGAGTATGACAGAGTTGAACACAGCGGCGGGACGGGAGAGCGCGAGGACGTCTTGCGACGGACGAGCTTGCCAGTCGGCGTGGCTGCGCAAGTGGTGCCACGCCATCTTGTACTGGATTCTGGACGCCGCGCTCATCAACGCGTCCGCGCTCTACGCTGACGCGAGCCCACGCCCCGCCATGGCCGCCGTGCGACGCGACTGCCTCGCCTGCCATTTCTGCATCGCCGACTGTTTTCTGTTGTGGCAGCCATTAACGCATTGTACTACTCTTTTACTGCGATTGATGGACGTTGCGACGTCTGTGGAGCGTCGCCGGAGCGCGGCTTGTGCGAAGGACAAGTTTGTCTTCCGTACCGTAAAGGGTTAAAAGGCAAAGGCAGCATCCCGCGAGTAGGCCGGAAGCATGACGGTGGCGTGCGGCAGGTGCGGGACGATGTAGTCCTCCATCGCGCTGCAGCGGAGGCAGCCGCGCAGATCGAGAGTGCTGAGCTGGGGCCAGACCGGGAGCTGGGCATTCACGCGGGGCAGGATGACGCGAGAGACAAACTGGGACCAGAGAGTGGTGCCCCAGTCGACAGCAATCCTCACCTTGGTCAGCCTGGTGCAGGACTCGACAATGTCAGCCAGCACGTCCGGAGTCATGGGGCAGTCGATGACGGTGAGTGTGGTAAGGCGGGAGGCGGCGGCGACACCAGCGAGGAACGATGCAGAGACCGGGGAGGCGGGACGGATGATGCAGAGCGTGGTGAGACATTGCATGCGATTGCACAGGAGCTCGATGTCATCAGAGCTGGGCGATGTGCCGGTCAGCGCGAGGTGGGCGAGGGTGCTGGGCCAGTTGGTCTCGCGGCTGTTCTGGAGTGCGATTGTGAGGTCGTTGGACGGGCCGGCGCCGTACTCGGGCGATGACGGTGGGGTGGGGCCGTTGTCAGGTGATGGCGGCGGGTCTGGGCCGTTGTCAGGCGATGGCGGCGGGTCGGAGCCCTCCATAGGCACCGGGTGCGGCATGTTGTAGAAGCCAGGCTCCGGCAGCCGGCCTCGGCCTGCCAGCTTACCGCGCTTGCCGCGCTTGCCGCCGATGAGCTTAATAGACTTGTCAGAATCATCGTCGGTGTCGTCGTCGTCGTCGTCGTCGTCGTCGTCGTCGTCGTCGTCGTCGTCGTCGTCGTCGTCGTCGTCGCTGGACGACTCGGGCGGTAGAATGCCATGGATGGCCAGGCGCGCGACGTTGGCCACAACGGAACCAGAGAGCGAGAGCGACTCGAGGTGGGAGAGTTGGCGAGAGAGGTGGACCATGAGAGACTCCCAATCTAGAGTCGCGCTCGCATCGCCCAGGTCGCCGATGACAAGCTTGCGCAGATTGACAGCGTTGGCAACGGGTAGCAGCATGTGGGGTTGGCAAGGGCTTGGCAGGAGCAGCTCACGGAGCGAGCCAGCCAGTGGCGTGGCGGCGTTCACCTCGCCCAGAAGGCGGGGAAACAGCCAGCCGCCGGGAGCGAGGGCAGGCAGTGCGAGCGATGTCAGCGTTGTGACGACTGAGAGAGGGGCAAGAACGTCGGCATCGGCGTGGGGCCAGGAGAGGGTGACCAGATGCTTCAGGCTCGCGAGGCAGAGGCCAAACTCGGAGAGATAGTGGCGGGAGCGGACGGGGAGATACAGATGGGTGAGGAGAGGGCAGTCGCGGGCGAGGGCGAGAAAGGCCAGGTGCTCGCCAAGGCCGCGCATGCCTGCGATGTTGACGACCTTGATGTTGGGGCAGTGGGCGGCGACGAGAGCGACTCCATCGGCGGTGAAGTTTGGCCCGCGGTTGCGGGGCAGGACCGGGATGTCGAGGTACTGCAGATGCTGGCCGTGCTGCGGGAGGATGAGCTCCAGGATGCGGTCTGAGAGGAACCGCGAGTTGTTGTACTTGCGGACCGAGAGGACCGTCCAGAAGCACCGGTCGCCCAGCAGCCGCCTCCACTCGCGCGAGACGGTGGCGAGCCATCCACGGTCTTCCCGTGGCACGTACGAGAGGATGCCGAGCTTCATGGCGTCGTCGAGCGAGTGCCAGCCGGCCATGGCTGTGCGACGTTCTAAGACGAATGTGCCCGTCACGCACTTGCGAGGCACGTGCGGAGCGTTGGGTGGTTTTTTCCATTTGTCCCGGCGGTGGCGTGAGTCGTTGTTGTGTAAAAATTGTTAGCGGGGGGCGTGCTGTCGACGGGGCACCAGAACACACGCACCTGTGGCCATGCCCTCCATCCCATAATCCCATCACATCACCCAGCATCCAATGATGCCTGCATGACACGCATGGAACGCGGAATGGATCTCTTGGCGCGTGTGTTCGCTGGCGCCAGCTAGAGGCATAGATGGATGCCGACAGGAGCGATGTGGACGGGTTTGACGAGTGATCGGCTGTTCTGCAGTTGAGCGAAAAGCAAAGATCGTGTTCCATGAGATGTCTGTTTCAAGACTTGGGCTTGCGGTATTATGGTAAGCTCTGGCGGAAAGGACTGGCATAGGAGGCATCATTCTTGTGCGGCTGGTACACGAACAGTGTGTAGCATGTACAGGGCACTGATTTTCTGATCGGGATGCGCTCGCCCAGCTCGTGTCACGGCAGAGGGGGGGGGGGCAATTTCGCGAGAGCGGCGTTGGTGCCAGCCCCACCACACCTGCCACCACCTAGATGACGACGACGTCGGCCGTTGTGCCGTACTGGCCGCTGCGGCTCGGTCTTGCCTCCATCCTACTGGTGGGCTGCTCGGGCTTGACGGGTTGAGCCGGTCGCCTGGGGTGGGTAACTGTGCCGATCAACGTGACATGGCAGCCAGAAATGGCAAGAGCGATAGAAGCGAGGACATCTCGAGCCGTTAGGCGAGTAGAGGCGGTGCAAGTCCACAGGCTGCCTGCGACACATTGCGCGGCGATTAGCACAGTACGGGAAAGATAATATTCAAGAGGTATCGCAGTACCCGCAGTCGCTGTTGGTACACTGTGTGCAGGAGAGGGAGCGCCCCGAGGCGGTGCAGGCGCCGGTGGTCGTTGCGCGAAAACAATTCTCGTCGTTGGGCCCGATCGCCGTGGGGGCGGCCTCGTCGCCTTTCTCTCGCGGCGCGAGGTGGAGGCAGTGTTCGAGGCTGGCAGACCGATGGCTCTCAGCGGGCACACGCGGGCGATGGCCAAGGTCTTGTTGTCTCATGTGGCGCTAATCTACGTGCGCATCGGCTGTGGGTCGCTGGAGGAGCTCCTCGCCGAGGCCTTTCTCGTCGATCGGTCGTCGCAGCGAGAGCAGAAGCGGGCTGACCGGGCTCGACAACAAGAGCTCGGGCTCGGGCCTCGATCACGTGTGGGCGCTGAGCATCGGACTGACGCTGACGTGTGCGCTCGCCCAGGTCCACTCGATCACGGGCGGCGGGCACGGCTCGCTCAAGCCATCCAACGTGGTGGTGGACACAAGAGCGGACGGATGGTCATCAAGAGCAACCAGGGGATGATGGCGGTGGTGCCATCGGTGGCATACATGGCGCCGGAGCAGCTGCGCGGAGCCGAAGAGGGTTTCGAGGGAGGCATCTTCACCTTTGGCACGCTCCTCTACGAGATGCTCATGCGGGCGCCGGCGTTTGATGGCAGCAACGCCATGGAGGTCGGCCGTCAGGTCCTCACCAGCAACGCTGCTAGTGCGATGGCGGGTGATTCATCAAGCGGTGTTGGTCGGTCGATCCGCTGGTGAGGCCCATGGCGCAGGAGGCTGCGGA